GTAATGCAACTGAGTGAAGTACATGTCAAATCCTTGGCTTACTAGTATTACTAATGGGCATAATTTCAGTGAGCAGCTTTCAAATGATGGCATTTATTGGTCCAATGCCACTGATGTTTTTGAATAAACTTAATCAATTGTGATTAAAATTATCAACTGTTCTTTTTCCCCCCCCAAGGTTAATTGGAATTGTGTGTGAAATATGTCTGAGAAGAGATGTAGCATTCTATAAATATTACCAAGTAATTTAGCTATAATATTTTTAGATATAAATTACATGTCAAGCATTTAAAGTATGAATTTGAGGTTAAAAGTAAAGCATACATTCTAAGCAACAGTTTCTTATGTTGTAAGTTTCTTATTTTAGTCTGCTTTTTTTACTTCCATTAGTACTTTTGAACCTTTTTTTGTCACATAAATACATGGTTTGACAATTAGAAAACATGCTTGTTCAGTGCTTTTAAGAGTTTTATTTAAAAATTGATTGATGTGGTATGTATTATTTTTGTTAAAATGTTTGGATAGTTATGTGTAGGTTTTATGCCCTGAATATCTGAAAGATAATCTAAATTGGCATTTTTTAGAATAGTTAAGGAAAAAGTACTGCTTTTAATGGCAGCCTTTAGAGTTTATATTTTGGTGCAAAATAATGGTCTATATTGTAAAGACTGATGGACCTTTGGAAGTTCTTTTCAGTAAAATACAAAAATGCTCAGTATCAAAGTCCAAGTCAGGCATAAAATGTCAGTATTTAATATTGGAAATTTTTGTTTTCTATGATAATTCTTAAAATACAGGTATTACATACTTTTTTAAAAGTAAGTCTTTAACATTATGAGCTTTATTTTTTATATTCTTAGTTTTATTTACATCGCCATGAGATTACTTGTTAGATTTGTAAAAACTTCTTTAAAAGCCCAAATTTGTAGATGCTACAGTTTCATCATACATAACTTACTCTGTAAAGTAGCACAACAAAGGTGCGCATTTGGTTTTTATTGGAAATAATTATGTAGTTAGTCCTTTGAGTTGCAGCCCCATTAATTTAGTGAAATAGCGGTATGTACTCAAGTCATCAAGGTGTTAGCTAACATTCATTCTTATTTGGATATCTAAAGCATAAACCATGCAATAGTTGGTTTAGTTTCTTAGGTTAAGAATGCATGGAATCTTCTACCACCTTTGTGAAACCTAGTTTCTGTTGTTATTGTCTACCTTTCTGTGTTCACTCATTCACTGGCTTAGACACATAATGGTGTCTATGTACTTGTATATTACAGCTTGGAAGTGAAAAACAAATTTTAATTCAAGTTTGAAAATATCAAAATAATTTTGACAATATTATTTCCGTATAGAGGACCCCTTGTGGTACCATGTGGCAGCGCTTTTAGTTTTTAATATACTCCTTTTTATGTATTAAGCAAACATCTTATTTAGGGTCATGTTCACACCTTTGAAAAGAAGAAAGCTTCATATCTCTGTACAGTAACTGGATTCAAATACCCTGTTTTTAATATTAATTTTGAAAGTAGTAAAAATTCTATTGATATTATGATAAAAGTAACCATATGCATAAGCACTAAAATATATTTTCATTTGTTATAATAGCATTTATAATGTTTATTTTACATATTACATCAAGAGCTTTT